TAATAATAATAATAATAATAATAATAATAATAATAATAATAATAGTAATAATAACAATAATAATAATAACAATAAATGTAACAATAATAATTTATAATAATAATAATAATAATAATAATAATAATAATAATAATAATAATAATAATAATAATAGTAATACCATCACCCTCGCAAATTAAAGTAAAAATAGCAGGTTATAATAAACGAAGCAATAGATACTGACACAATAAAGGCTAAAAAAAGCAATAGATCATGACACAGTATAATAATAATAATAATAATAACAATCAACAACAAGATGATCAATAACATATAATAAATCAACAACAAATACATAATTAAAAATATGAATAGTTAATAATGATGTATGCTTCAATTACAGATCAGTGCAACACATGTTTATTTTTTATTTATTTATATATTTTTTTTTTTTTATTTCGTTCATGTTTTCAGTAATCAAGCGATTCAATAATTCGTATACAGTTGTTGATAAAATTGAGAAAAAGTACTTATAAAATTGAGAAAAAGTACTTATCTGTTGCAGGGAGTTGTCACATTCTTGACGATTTCCTAATAGTAGGCCCTCCTAGAAGCCCTAAGTGTGGACAGGATTTGTCAGAACTACTATCATTTTGTGGTAGGGTGGGCATACCCATTAAGGTTTCCAAGACTGTTTACCCCACGACCACTATTACATTCTTAGGTATTGAACTAGACAGTGTAAATATGGAAGCCCGTCTTCCACAAGAGAAAGTTATAAAAATTAGAAATCACCTAAGACAATTTATGAAACGACGAAGAGTAACATTGAAAGAACTGCAATCTAGGGCTTTTGAATTTTGCTTGCAGGGTAGTGTTACCAGGGAGGACAATTTTACGTCGTTTAATTAACCTTACTAAAGGACACACAAAATCTTATACACACATTACCTTAGGTAAAGAAGGGCGGGCAGACTTGCGTTGTTGGATGTCATTTGTAGAGCAATTTAATGGGGTATCGATGTTTCTGCCAGAGACGGTGGATAACATCATCAACCTTGCACTTTTTTACAGATGCAAGTAATCTAGGTTATGGGGGGTATGTTTGGAACAGCATGGATTTTTGGGAGGTGGCCTCCAGACTTTAAAGATTTGCATATTAATGTTAAAGAGATGATCCCAATTGCACTAGCAATAGAATTCTGGGCAGCTCGTCTAGCAAACAAATGTATAGTTTTTGTATGTGACAACACCACAGTGGTGGCGGCAATTAACAATATGACATCTGATGTAGGTCACATTATGCACCTTTTGCGACGAATAGTACTTACTTCTTTAAAATTAAATTTTCTTCTGACGGCCAAACATGAGAAGGCAAACATTTTGGCTGATCATTTATCTCGATTGGAGGTAGATGAGTTCAGGGCGTTGTCCCCTCAACACGATACACACCCGGTGCAAGTGCATCACCTGCTAGAGACCATCTGGAAATGACAGTTCAACAGTTGATGTTGCAGGCGGGGTGGCCCCTCAGACCAGGAGAACCTATAATCAGGCTTTGAATATCTTTGAAAAATTTGGGAAGTCTCAAAATTTATTAGCTAGTCTGTTTCCTACATCTGCACAAACATACGTTTTATTCATAGCTTATTTATTTGAAGCTGGTTATACAGCAGCTACTATCAGAATATATGTGGCTGCGAGTGGTCGTTTTAATCAGTTGAAAGGGTTTGCGGACCAGGCGAAATCCTTTTTACCAATTCTACATGCTGTTGTCAATGCACTGTCACGGGCAGTTCCTTCACGCTATCAATGTACCATGTTCAAGTCACTCTTTTTGTTATGCTTTTATGGTTTTTTAAGAGCCAGTGAACTTTCACGGTGTGGCTCCAGCAATCACACTTTAAATTTTGAGGATATTGTGTTAAAAGAAACGGTAGCTGAACTTCATTTTCAGTCGTTTAAAAACAACCAGTCAGGTAGGCCGGTTGTTCTCCTTCTCACAAAGAATGGTTCTGCCCAGTTGAGTCCCTTAGGATGTTTTGAATAATTCGTGGTAATTGTAAAAAGGGCCCGCTTTTTTCGTTTGGTTCAGTACGGCCATTGTCATACGCATATTTCCGTCAAGTTTTGGGAAAAGCAGTTTCATTGGCAGGATATTCTTCGAATCATTATACTACCCAAAGCATAGCATTTAGAATTGGGGCTGCATATATTAAATTATGTACTTGTTCTTGTCAGAGAGGTACTCTGGTTATTGACATTGTAGTCATGTTAGCTTATACGGCTACAGTACATTTAATAGGGAACTGTTGTAACATAGTAGAAATAAAAGAGTAGTTTTAAGTTGAAGGTTACCCTTCGGTGAATTTAACCTAGATGTCAGTTGTTCGGTACAGTTGTTTTATGGGACTTCGGCTTGTTTCTTATGGGGGTTGATTTTAGCTCCAGGAAGCTAAAATGTTGGTGTTTTGTTTTCCCCCATATTGGGCCCAGTTTGGGGCAAATTGTTATTGATTACTTGTCGTGAAGTAAACGGCCATAGAAACACATTACTGCGTTTGTCGTTTCTATGTCTGGTTCCTTCCGGCCCCAACCGAGTTCAACAAGCCAAAGTTAATATAATAAGTCATTAAATAAATAAGATTTAATTAATATTATATTAGCACAGGCACCTTGTGCTATCTGTACAGGCGGAGTAATATGGTTTAGGTCAGAGGACATGCCTTTTGGTTAGAGAGCGTATCCTAGCTACGAGACGCTCTCTGACAATTAATATGGCGCCAGTTCAGACAAGAGGTGAGTCTCTCTGAACTTTTGGGTAACTTTATCCCACCTCCACCCCTGTTTACTCCACCTACTTAATTATTGATTAGTATGTAGTTATAGGGGTGTTTTGTTTTCCCCCATACTGGGCCCAGTTTGGGGCAAATTGTTATTGATTACTTGTGAAATAAACGGCCATAGAAACCCATTACTGCGTTTGTCGTTTCTATGTCTGGTTCCTTCCTGGCCCCAACCGAGTTCAACAAGCCGAAGTCTAATATAATATATATTTATATATATTCTATATGTGTACATTGTTTGATGAGATTGTATTTTATACTTTGAAAACAATAGTAATAAAAATAATAATAATAATAATAATAATAATAATAATAATAATAATAATAATAATCTTACAAAAATAACCATTTTCCCCGCAAAGATGAACGCCATCTTGGAAATTGGCATTATGATCATTTCAATCAAATTTGATAAAGACAGTAAAGAATAACTAGTTAACTAAGTTTATTGTCAATTTTCACATTTATAATTTCTAAATACGCCATTTTGGAATTCATCCGAATTATGACTGTAAACACTGTCTCTTATACACATCTAGATGTGTATAAGAGACAGGTGCTGGAGTGGGAGTGTGTGTGCATATGTTTTATTTTATTGTTTGTATAACATTGTTTTGAAGTTGCTCTGATAACAATAAAAGTAATTTTACATTATAAAAATGTTTTACCTCCAAAATGGCAGCCATCTTGGAATGTTTTGTGATGACGTCATCACTCCGATTAATTTTTTTTTACGAGAGTGAAGAGTAACTATTTTGCCAAGTTCTAGTTACATTTGATATACATAGCATATGTAAAAGTGACTAAAAGCATACATTTATTTCCCCTAACCCCATCTTAATTAGTCCAAAATAGGATATTTTATGTCAAAATTTCAAAGTGCTATAAAAAAAGTTGCCCAAGCTCTAAGAATGGGGATTTTTTTTCTGAGACACTATATGATATACTGATTCAGAAAAACCAAAAATAAATTTTCCTTTACTTTTTTCCCGCTAATTTCCTACTGCACCCAGTCTAATGAGATGAAGTGAGTGATTGTAATGGGTTTCTTCTTTACATTCCAATGGCTATATGTTGCTGGCAGGACTCTCTTGTTAACTCCCAATGGACATTCTTAAAACCAATTAAAGTTAAGTTTATGGAGCTGCTGACAGCTCCCTCTGGACCATTTGACAGCTCACTCTCAACTATCAGACAGCTCACTATGGACCATTTCTACTAACAGGGACTTTTGCCTCATGAGCTCATGTTAGGGTTCGACACAAAATACGGTATTTTTATTGGCAGTAGAAATGGGGTATGAAAAATACAGTATATGTTGCAAAATACCGGAATAATTCCACAAAAATAGTGGGGAAAATATGGTATATTTTTATGAGCCCCGTTTCTGCTGCAAAAAAAAAATACAGTATTTTAAAAATACCGTATATACAGTATACGGTATTTTTTTGGCAGCAGAAACAGGCCCAAATGCTTTAAACGGTCAATTATAGAGTCTACTATTATGTAGAAATAGTATGAATGTCACTCAAAAATTGACAAGGGCATTTTATTCATTGTTTCGCTTTTATTTAAGCATCATCAGTTCATACTATTTGTACTTAAAAACTCAGTGCACATCTGGTTACTATTAGGCCTATGTAGAAAATATATAGAATTTTTTTCTTCTCACCAACCAATTAGATATATTTCTCACGACAGAAGGCAGGGGAGCTCTGCCTAACGGAGGCCTTACAAATACATAAACCAATACAAATATAAATTATCATTTACATTAAAGTTTGCAATTTTTTTAGGTAAGCATAAATAATAATATTAGCAACAAGTAGATAACTAACAATAGTGTAATTATATATTGTAAATATATTTTATAACCTAGTGCCTAGCAGCACAGGTTATCACTTATCTCATGTCATCCATCCAAAGGTTCATTGAATGACACGTAGAATGACAACAAATTCTGGTGCAGCACCTTAAATGACATCCAACAAGTTAGGAGTAGGTCTTACTTTAAATGTACACCCAATGCTGTTAATAACCTTATATAATCACTTTATATGACAGCAAAACATGCAGCACCTTAGACAACCAATGCTGTTTACACTAATTCAGATGATGCCTAATGTTGTGAGCACCTTAAAAAAAAATCCAATTGTGTTAGCACCTCAGAACGAACCCTATGCAGGTTACCTTAGATGGCAATTAATGATCAGCTCAAATCATCAGCACCTTAGAAGGCTTCTAATAATGGAACATATTAGATGACATCCAGATGCTGTCAGCATGGCGCCTGTTTTAACAACTTAGTGTAGGTGACGCCCAAATCATTAGCACCTTACATGGCACCCAATTCTGTCAGTACCTTAGGTGGCACCTAATGCTGTAACAACTTTAGTGTAGGTGACACCCAAATCGTCAGCACCTTGCATGGTACCCAATGCAGTCAGCACCTTTGCACCTAATACTGGAGCAACACAGATGACACCCAGATGCTGTCAGCAGCTCAGGTGACACCAAATTGTGTTTGCTCATAACATGGTCCCCAATGCAGTCAGCACCTTAGATGACTAAACATGTTCTGAGCACCTTTTACAATATGACTTTAAATGCTTTCTGCTCCTTAACAGCCACTGCACAAAGAGTGCTTTAGATGACACCCAACAAACATTTCCTGCTCTTCCTTGTACCTTAACACTTCAATATGTTAGGAATCCTTTAGGTTTTAGTGGCGGTAGAATGCCCATTCTTGGACGCCTCATGTCCATGGCTGTGGGAGTAGAGTGCAGTTGATACTGTAGATTATGTGCCTTGTGCAGAGCATGTGCTGAAGCATGATGCATCATCAGAAGATGCCTTGGGGGACCCTTAACCTTCTTGGTGATGGCACGGACAAGGTCTCTGGCATGCTTTAAACTGTATGCTGTTAACAAAAAAAATATATAGTATAGTATATATATATATATATATAGTATACAAAGGCATTGTAGATTACATAGAAAGAAACACTGCAGCAAATTTTCAACATTATTTATAAATGTATTAAAGTTTCTTGTCAAACTAGACTTTTTAAGTATATCCATGCTACATGTTTAGACAGGGATGGATTTTATTTTATTCAAGAAATTACATTTATTTTTTTCATTAAATTTTTTATGAACATGTCCTGATAATGATTGGTGAAATCTGAATTAATATCCCTTGCACACATTTTTAACTACCATTTTATATATCAGTGATTCATCTTATCAATTAGGCTCCCAATTTTCTAAGCTAGTCCTTATGTGACTTGTGCAGTTACTAAGTAAGATAAATACTATGCTAGTATTTGAATTTCATAATTCTTACCTTTTAACCTTGCCTTTACTTCATCAGTGAAGTACCCACATTCCAACCACTCGTCAAAATCCAAGATGCAGTCAAACGCTGTAAGGCCTTGGATGTTCTTGTGCCGAACATTTGCACCTTTGTAAATGAAAATATTGGCCATATGTAATCAATGAGAGATAAAAAATGAGACAATAATAATTATATCCTGCATTTTAGCTGTAAAAGCTTAAATGTGTTATGTGTCTATTTTCTAAGGAGTCATTCAAAATTATCAAAGATTTTCACAAGTGTACCAAAAGTACACTTAGCGTGGGGTAGACAAATCTGTACACTACATATGCATGAAAATGTTGATTTAAAATAACATGCAATATTTAAAATAATAGATTTTTATGACCAATTATAATGCAACCATGGATGTAATATACATTTTGAAGTAACCTAGTACAGTACTTTAGTTGATTTCACAAAAAAATAAACATTGAAAAATCAACATTGAAAAATAACAGAGTACCGTTTGTACGCTTGAGAAAATGTTGATAATTGTTAACGACGATCATAAGATATTAGTATGATAATAATGGTTTGTAAAGCGCAAAATTGTTAATGCTAAAATTTTGATGGTGATCAGAATGGTGATGGTATTATTGCAATTAGAGAATGATGATGAAATTGGATGATTGTGGTGAATATAAAAAAAAAAAAACACAGTATATACCTATGAATGAATATGTGAAAGTAATTTCATATAGATATTTGCCCATGGTGGCATTTGAAGCATGCAATAAAACTGAAATGATGGCAATGACTAATAATGATGGCATAATTTTTAAGATAATGATTTAAATAATTGCTTACCATTTGCTAAGAGCACGCTGGTGGCATACTGGTTGTTAGCTTGTGTTGCAAAGAACAGGGGTGTGCAATTGTCATCATTTACAGCATCTACCTCAGCTCCATATTGCAACAATAAACCCATGATATCACTTGGTCCCAACATCCCTGCTGCATAATGGAGCGGTCTAAATACAAATAAACTGTACTTAAAATCAATTATAATATCTTCAATGTATACAGCGCCAATTCCAAAAAGGCAAAGGCGCAACAACATCTGAATAGCCAACAGAAAACAAATAGGTATTATGCTGTGTAAAGAGTTAATAAATGGCCTGAGTTGTGGCCTGGTAGTTTACATTCTTCCCTTCCAAGGCTTTGTTAACTCCTATTGCTAACAAAAAACTAATTCCAATTCCAATTCCCCGCTTGGCTAGTCTAAAGCTAGATGTAAAGATCAGATTCTCTAATTTTCCATAGCGGTACACTTCCTTCAGTATAACCTGGAATATAGGCCTATTTTAATTTAATTCTGGAGCAGTGAGGATGATCAGCCTTGCTATATATGGTATTAATAAATAAAATGAAAGAGTATATCTAAAGGTTAAAGGTTATTCATTTATACCATGCAAAATAAAAGAGTCTCTATCTCTAAACAAGTGAACAGATATAATATAGCGGGGAAAAAAATGTCTACTTTTGTATTTCTAAACTTCGTAATTCAATTCACATACGTGTTTCCCCCAGCATAGCGTTGATCTAAGTCAGCTCCGTGCTCAAACAAGAACTCCATTAGCTCTAGGCACCTTTTGCTGAAAACAATAATCATACGTAACGGTAAATGTAATGATAAAAAGAAATTTGACTCACAGCTTCAAAGGGCTGATTTGCTCACAAAACTATATATGTGTAATGCTTTATTTTGTTTCATTTTATTACTCTTCAGAAGTATATAACGGCAGTTTTCCAGTAGGCGAATTTATTGTGCGACACAAGTCTTGCTACAAACAAAATTGTGTGAGCGAATCATTATTTTCCACTACGTGAAGGAAAATGTTTGTGATACATATTTTTCATAAACAATTGGTACGTTGCTAACGACTTGTCAGCATACAATGGTGATGCGCACATCCATCGATTCGATTCTGCACCTCATGGGCGCAAATTAGATCTTTTAATGCACTGATTGGCTGTGCATTATTTGCACTTCAACCTCAAACCACCACAAGTAAAAAAGTGAACAATCTGATGAAGGAATTGCCTCTGAAAAATTAAACTGTGCATGCGTACGGTTTTAAACGGTTTCCCTTAGTCCAAAAAAATTGCCTTAGTGCAAAAACCGGCTTTAAACACAACAAGCATAAATGTAGATCATTACTTATAAGCATTCTCTTTCATTTACTTTAAACTTCTTTTAGTACCAAATCAAAATTTTTAAATCAGTACCTTTGTATTTGTTCTGTTAATATACGATGTACTAATATATCTTGTTCATTTTCTTTGAATGTGAACCCATTTTCCACGAGCCACCTGCCACAGTCCAAGTAATCATTCGCAAGGGCAAGGTGTGGCAGGCTAGGTGGCGCTGCTGGGTCTTCGGTGTCAATAGATTCTCGCATGATGTTTTCGGGGTCCATACCAAGGAGGTACTGAATGGCCTCAACGCGGCCTTGCATGGCGCAGCAGTGAAGTGCCAGTAAGCCTTTGTTGTTTTTGTGAATTAAGCTGATGTCATGTGCCATCTACAAAAAGTAAAGAAAATTTTAATCATTTGTTGTAGTGTAATCTGTTCTTTAGCCTTGTTCACACTACACATTTTCATGTGACAAATAAAAGTAATATGACATCATCATGCGCATACAGTATATAGGCACATCACATTTATTTGTCACATAAAAATTTACAATGTGGACAGCGATTTAATAAGCCTGGCCAATTTCGCATTGTACTTCAAGAGCAGCGTACTCTATCCTGGTTAAATTTTCTTGGGACTTGGGATGATTTACTCGAGCAAAGCCCAGATTAAGATTTTTAGATATTCTGAATGATTGCAGGAGAGCTTTTCCGGGATAATCTCGTCAACATCGGAACACACAGTGTATAATTTTAATTACCACTTTCTTTACAATTATTCAGTTTTTTTTTGTAATTAATATAACTATTGTGAACATATTTAGTTAAACATAATGTAAGTTAGATTTTATTGCTTTGGGTTGTATTTTTGTTTTGAAATTAATTCAGTTTTTAGTGTTTTTTAGAGTTTTGGCTCCATTGTCACACAGGTGATTTTTTGGCTTGATAGTGTAAAAGTGGTATCAGATTCATATGATCTTGCAATCATAGGCTTTCACTATCACATATCTTACTAGTGTTTCTAAGCAGCTAATATCTGTTGCTTTGCCAGCTTCTCCGTAACTCTTGACATGGAGGGCGGTGTTGCCCTCACCGTCTTCTGCATTTATGTCCGCACCATTCTCCAACAAAATCTATAAATTGGAAATATAAAGTTAACAATTAAAATTTTATATATATACAATAATATTTTCTAAATGTTTAGGATATAAATATGTATGTTGTTTCCATTCTTTGACATCTTTCTCTACATCTCCCTGCACACAAGATAGTGAATAACAGGGAAAAACTCAATGTCTGTCTACTAAGATATTTGCTCTTTGACCATGACAGAAGTAACAATTGACTCAAACACGTATAAGTTATTAGGTACCATGAATCTACCTACCCTATTCAGAGAATTAGATGGGTGATGCAAGACAAGTGGGAGGGAATATTAAGTCAAAGTAACCTCAGTAACACTCCTTTTAAGAGCACATGCTTAAGAATTACACATTTTTGGCTGTGAATCAAGGAACAATAGCTCTTTAATCACTACAACCCGTATTCAGGGGACACCCGTATATAAAGGAGACACCTTTTTTCAGGGCTCACAAGTCTCCTGGACTGCCCTGGAATAGCCAGGAATTTTGGTTCGTCTCCTGGTCTCCCAGAAATTCCACATTTTCTCCCGGAATCTGAATTTCTCTTGTATTTCTCCAGGATTTTAACAGATTTTCACAATTAGGGCTTATGCGAAGCTAAATTTTCCCACTCTTATGCAATAAATCTGGCAGACACAAGATTTATTGAACATTCTAGGCAGCAACGTGGTATTAACAGTGACCTAAGCGTGCCCAAGCCTGTTTGTTTTTATATTGAACAAGGCGATACATTTGTACACGCGTGTCCTTGTACATGGGTTTTAGTTAGCACATGCGTCGCAAACCTCTGCCTGTCCTGCATGACAAAATCTCCAGGAATGTAACTTTCACAACTTGGCACCCTTGCCTACTTTGGTCCAGAAGGTGTCCCTTTAATAGATGTTGTACTGTAATTGGAACTGCAACTGTAATATTACAGCTATACTGACCTTCATTGTAAGAGCATCGTGCGCTCGATGCAAGGGGGTGGCGCCCTTGTAATCCTGAAGATTGACATCAACTCTCTCCTTCAGTAGTTCTTTAAGAACAGCAATTGCACCAAAATAGGCTGCTGTGTGAAGAAGTGTACTACCATTGATACACCTTTAGGAAACAAAAAAAAAAAAAAAACACTATTTTTTAGGATCTGCTAGACTAGATAGGCAACATCATAATATTAGTGCATATCATATGTACCACACCCTCCCTACACACTCCCCCAAAAAGAACAACAAAAACATTTTGCTGTCCTAAAAATGCAGATAAATGTAGCAATAACCATGTTTGCTTCATTTGCATTTAAGTCAAAGAATACTTTACTTTCTTTAGTTTTCATACCTATAAATCTTACTACTATATTAAATGACAGTTTTACTACTAAAGTATAAATTCATGTATTATTATTAATTTATAATAGTATTGTTAGTAAATACTTATTTTTATAATATTACTTTTTATAAAGTCAATCATGACATTATCACTGCAACTCCAAATGTTATTTGCCTATCCTTCACAGTCCAATAATTTTTCAATAGTGGATTCTTGGATTGATTCATTTTTAGGTTCGTGTGAAAAAAAAAACCTAATTTTTTGTTACCGCGAAGAGATCGCACACTGCACCGCGCGATGAAAATTGAATTGTAATTGAAAATTACTGTCGTAAAACAAGGGTAATTAGAACCCGAAGAAAGTTACTTCAAATTCAATATTAAGTATGAACAATTAAGGAATTCCTTGAATCAATGAACCCTAACAAACTAAACAAACTGAACATTTAATAGCAATATTCCACACCTATTTTAAAGACTCAATGAAGGATGGTAAGGTTAGGCCTACAGCCAGGCAGGAGGCCTCCTTCTACGCTAGTACTAGTCCGTGGCCTAGCGTAGTTATGAAGTCATCGCACGATTTTTACCTGTCTGCACTGACTAAAAAGTCAGTGACTATATTCTCTCTCTAATGTCTTAAGAAATGTTCTATGTCTATAGACGAATGTCTATCAAAATAGCATTACAAACAAGTTCTTCCAACACAATACAAATTACAATAGTAATTCATCGTATCCGTACTGACTGCTGATGTGTTAAACGCGTACACTCCAGGAGCACAAATCAGCATACGCACAGCTAGCTAAATGTAAATACGCACACAGTATACTGTGCAACACTAAAAAGACGGAGATTGACTTATAAAGCAATAGTAGAGCATGCATCAGGAAATCTTTTCAAGTATTAAATCAACCTTCATATAATAATTTTCCTATAGTGTACTATGCGGAGTTCTATTAATTGCTTATTATTAATACAAAGTTGAGCAAAAACGTATCAGCAGAAATACAATAATTAGTCACAAAATGTGAAAATAAATTATGGACTACGTTAAAATAGACCAAGCAAAGAAGCCAACATACCTGCTACGTAAACTGGAGAAGCGGCGTATCCCGGTCACATGATCCTCCACTACCTTCTGTAGGAGACCTGTGTCACCTCGCATCAGTTTAGGGATACATGCCTGTAGGTGGTCATAGCAGGCTGATGCAACAAATTAAAATCTGTTTGTAATTTTTGTTTTCATTATTGATTCATGATTCACTTAATACAGCAGTTCTCAAACTGTAGGTCGCGACCAAAAATTGGGTTGCCAATTAGATTGTCGGAAGACTCCAAGGTTTTATTAAATTTAATAGTATATCCTGCTAAACTATTAGGCATTTCATTTAAACATTAATTTTCTTTACCATTTCGAGTATGTGTCTTTTAACGTCCTGGAAAGTAGATCATGGCAAAAATCCTGGGCATTTGTTTGGATCATCTGCAAAAATGATTGCGGACCGCTGACCTAATATATTTCATTATAACTGATCAGTTATGTAATCACCACCACTACTATTATCATCATTATCCTCATCTTTATCATTATCCAATCAAAACATAAAATGCAAACTTACAAATTAAATGTTGTTTCAACTCTTCATTTCTAACTGAATCAAAAGCAGTTTTGTTTTGTTTGTTCTTGCTGTGAACATTAGCACCCCATTCCACCAGTAACTGTAAACATTGCAAATCAGAAAGTATAGCTATGCAAGTCAAAAATGAAGCACCTGATTAACATAATTATGTACAAAATTGAGTGAGCAATTGAAATAGAAAGTGAGGAATTCATTAGAAGTAGGTGACTCATGTTTCAAGTACTCTTCACCGACTCCCAGGTATAAATTTACTCATTGTCAATATTCTACTAAAAAGAAAAATAAAATTATAGATAGAAGATGATTTGCCAGAAAAGAATAACATCAAATCTATTTCATATCATGAAATGAATGAAATATATTTCATTTCATTATCAGAAAAATGTTTATCACACTATTAATTGTATGAGAAAAAATGGAATTGATGGGCCAAAGAAGGCCTCTTTCCCAGAATTGGCGGTGGGGCCAGTGGCAGCCCAGAACCCCTCAAATGAGGTGCAGGGTGAGATCCCCGGAAACTCCAACAACTTTGAAAAACTTATTTAAATCATTTTAGTCTAACAATCTGTAAAAATTACAGATCATTTTTTTTTCTGCGACAAAGGTTTTCTCTCCCTACCCAACCCCATTCAACTGGCACAACAACTAAAGGTACTGAGTTTGACATTTTTAGTATAGAGTAGGAGTAATTGGAAAAACATAATCATACCTCAGCTGTGTTTTCATGTGTATCCTAAAAGAAGAAAATTACAAATTGATAAAATCAGAAAAAAAGTCACAATAAAATATTTAATAATCAAGCTTTAAAGAACTGCTTCATGAATAATAATAATACAACTTAATTTGTCCTCAAATGTAATACAAACATGGCGTGAGTCGCTGGGGACCCGCGGCAACCTAACTCTCCTGAAAGGGTCGTTTGAGGAGCTGAACGTTTTTATAAAAGACCCAAATTCAATACTCGGCTGAGAGCTGGGTCTCGAACCGGGGGCCTGGCGTGCAAGAGGCAGGAATCATACCAATCAGCCAAATGCTCAGCTTTAAACATTAAATTCAAGCATTTTCAAATCACACTGACCCTGACAGACAAATTATAGGCATATTAAAGGATATTATGAGAGAAATGATCAAAGAGTGATTAGTATACCAAACATACACTCTGTTATAAAACAACTATGAAGGCAATAATAATGATGATAACAATAACAACAATGTGAGAGAAAAATAATAACCTGGAATGTTATGAATGTGAACATGAAAAAAAAAATTGAAAATTAAGTTTAATATAACACTGCAAACTGGAAAAAATGAGTCACACTGTAGGGGAAGGGGTGAAATTGGCATGACTATGGGTATAACTATGGGTGAGACAAGATCCCTTCACCTTTACATGTTGTTTTCTGTGTCTAAATGAGGATTTAGAGTTGTGTCTGGAAGACAGACGATAGATATTGCCGCGAATATCTCGCGGATGGATCATCCGTATATCGGTGAAGAATGTATCACTTCTTTTATCCTAGTTATGTTAGTAAAGAGAACAATGTTACGTAAAAATTAATCTAAAGTATAAATATGAAGGAAAAGAAATTAGTACTTAAAAACTATCAACACATCAATGCTTTTTATGATGCATCTTGTAGTTTCAGCTACAGTACATATATATGTCAAAGGTTAAATAAAAATACAAATAAGCAAATCAGACAATGTATATGTATCATCTACATTTCATAGTTTTATTAATTGGTTGTCGGTTGCAGTACTTTAGCTAACTGTAAATACCAAAAATGGTTAATAAATAATGACATGAATATATCCACAGCCTTGTTTTAATGCTTTCAACCTTTGACATACAACAGAGTACTGAAACTACAACAGAGTTTCTTAACAAATTGATGAACACACTTTTTTCATTAATTGGTTTTCTTGATCAATTTATTGGTTTAATCAATTACGTTGTTGATGAATTTGTTATTGTTCAGTTAGTTATTCAGGGTTCAAATTTCTGAAAAATGATCCATCATGAAATAGCTGTTGTGTGCTGTGGTTTCTACAGCATTCTTCTTCTACAGCAACAAGCTCGGTATAAATTGTTTTAGGAATACTGTAGGCCTATTGTATAAATGTAGTTGCACAGTAATCCATTGCTAGGCCTGGATAATCCTGGCCTGATTCAGGCAACTCAACAGCAGAAAGCTTGCTGTACAGCCAGGTATTTACAACAGCCCTTTCATACAGCAATTGCTGTTGGTGCGACTGGTAACTGGTTCATCAATTGGTTAATTTATCAATAATAATAACAACAACAACAATAATAATAATAATAATAATAATAATAATAATAATAATAATAATATTAATAATAATTTAATCCATTTTTAATTGATAAATTCATTGATTGATCAATTTTACTTAATTTTATTGATTGATTATTGATTGAAACATTAACTGGTTCAGAAGTTGATTAGAGGTTTGACCTATTCACCGGCTCAAATTGTTCTCGACTCTCATCAATGTAATCAACAAATGTAGTATTTATCACAATAATTAATAACTCCTCTACAACAATCAGTAATTAGTAAAGTATTGCATAGAAAAAAGAAACATAAATGGGTTAAAAGTAAAATAGAAAATGAGTTAAAACGTTCAAAACACATAATAACTTCTAAATGTTTGATTCATACATATTGTTAAGGTTTTATTAATACATTGGTAAATCTTAAAGCCCCATTCCCGGCAAAATTTCAATTTTTAAGAAAAATCTAATTTTTGTATAATGTTATAAAGATTTATAAATATAATACGGAATTGCTAGTTTAACTGAATTTAGACATTCCTAAGAATTCATTTTTATAAGGTAACACAAATTATTTCTTGGGGATTAAATTTTTTTGGGTTCCATTACTTTTTAATCTTGTTTGTAGTGGTACAAATACAGTAAAATTAGTACTACTAGTACTAGGCCTAATACTGTTTTAGGCTACGAAAAATTGATACAACTTTGCAATTATTAAATAATTAGACTTGAGCTAGCCTATCACTCGGCACACTTATTTATTTTTTTTTTGTATATTTTTTCGAGGCACAATTCATTACAAAACACTGGGGCCTACACCTTTGGTGGTTGTCGATTGCTATTTCTAGGCCTAGTCGGTGTGTACTACTAGGCCTAGCTTAGCAAGCCGTAAACGACGCTCGCTCGACTTACTTAGGTTACCTAACGAACGAATCGCCCAAGAGTTAGCGCATGTTGCCGGCCATTTCACGAGTCGATCGTCCTAGGTAAATGGGTCGTAAATGCCTACCTGTTAGATATTGGCTCACGGAGATCTTCGCCAACAACTTCTTTTATTGAAGACATGAGGACTTCCAAAACTTCTTTATCCAAACACAGTTTTTTGTAATTGTCTTTTAAAACAATACACGTGTTTACATCGTCCATCTTCCGACAGATATCCACATTCTCCAGGCAACATACACTCTCGATCCGGCTAGGCATTATAATGCAGTTTTCACATTGGCACCAGTCCAAATTGTCCGTTCTATCATTGTTTAGACTATTATCTACAGTAATATCATCGTCACTTTCATTTTCTTCACTAGAATATTGTCTTTGTGGTTCAAATAAAAATCCACTTCGGTGTTTATCTGCAGTCATCGCTATACACTTTTTACGGTCTGTTTTCGCGATGGACCTTAGGCGACGTCACAGACTACAGCGCCCTCTTTTGGCCAAATAATATATTTCTTAATTAATTAGTAATAAAAAATAAAAATTAACCAGAGTGATGATAGCCATTATGTTCTACATCATCACTTAACATTAAAATTATGGTAATTTTCGTTTCAGTTCCCCTTTAACGAACCAAAGAAAGATAACATAGTTTTTCATATTTAAATCATTAAAAAAATGTATTCTAAGACAAATATTCAATGTTTATTTACAAAAAAATCAAACTTTAAAATTCCATGAGATGAAAATAATATTTTAAGCATATATTATTTGAATTCACTCTAGGTACATCTACAAAAAATTGTTTATATTCGTCAGGTTATTTACACTAAGTGCTGAGTGATACAAATAGTTATTCAGGGGCAGATTTGGGAAGGCAGAAAAAGATAAAAAATGACATACAAACACTAAATGTAACAGCATATACTGAACACGAATTATACCATTATTGGATACATATTTATCTGTATATTACACGTAGGCCTATACGAAATTGGTGCCCCTCATTTTAAAAATTATTGACCTGCTATTTATGTTAAAATTATATTCTATATTCATATTGTCTAGCATTTTCCAATAATTTAAATATTTTTTTAAATTTATTCATTATTTATTCAGAAAAACAATAACAAAATAAAACAAAGAATACAGATATATAAATGGCAGGCAACAAGTTCATTGTTATTTAGAAAATTAAAAATAAATAATATATAACATTACCTGGCTTATTCCTTTTGATAAGCCCTCCACTGCATTGAAGAAAGGAGTTGCACCGGAAGAATTTTTTGAGTCAACATGGCAACCATTCTCAAGGAGATACAATGCAACATCCTGAACAAAGGAGGGGAAAAACAGAAACATAAGAAAACTACATAATAATTTGGTTAAAAAATGAAGCGTGTGCATTCAATGGATTGAACACCCTTAATACAAATGTATTGTCCCATGTAAAAAAAACACAAAAATCAGTTTGGAAATTACCTTGCTCATTTTTAAGTAACATATAAATGATCAACTTAAACATTGATATTAAATGTATTTTTAAAATGTATACTATTTTACAACAGGAAATGATAGAAATGCTTCTAGTCACTGGAAGTGTTTTTATTATATTTGTCATTATCAAGTATAAAAATCAGGGTACACATTTTTTAAATTCAATAATTTCTATGATGAAGTTAATAATGTGTATGTTACTGCAAAAATGAGCAAGTTAATTTCAAAATTATTTTTTATGATTTTTTTTTTCATCTTAGAAAGTTGTTTTTTTTTTCTGTTATTTTCATGTAATGATATATATTGTTAACGTTTTAGTAATAGCTATTATGGTAGACAATATTGTATAGAAAGACTTCCTTTCATTGTCTGCCATCTCTATTTGAGGATAAATTATAAGTTATTTTGTCTCCTGTGTGGATAAGTCCTTGACAACGCATTTCATTTGCATACATTATTCAGGAATAAAAGCATGTTGTAGGATGTCAATGTTCTTTTGAATGTATAAGCTAAACATATAGGTATGCATGAGTAATACTCCACAGGCAACAGAGAAAGTTGAATAATGTTCAATTTGTAATACCCAAGAACTTTTTTTCTACCTTGTTTTAAAACTCATCTCATATATTTTCACAAAGATACAAAATGAAATAATACAAAATGAATATTGAAAGTTGAATAGATTGTGTAAACTACATTGTAAATGAAAGTGAGAAAAGAGGTACTACCGGAAGTAAGCATTAAAACGGGTGACCCTCAATTATGTAATTAATAATATATTATTAATTGGTGTGTGTAAATAATAAAAATTAAAATAAATAGATAAAAGAATAATAACAACAAAACATTAATAATATATTATTAATTGGTGCGTGTAAAGAATAAAATAAAAATAAAAATAGATAAAAGAATAATAACAAAAACAATGTTAACAACATTTAATTTAATTAAGCATCATTTCAAATATAAATGAATTATTAACTAAAATGCACTTTTTTCCCCCAGTTTTTAAGTATTTCTTCCTGTTTTTTACATACATAAAAAAATAGATCTATATTTATCTAACAACAGATTTCCTGAATATTCAACTCTGAAATCAACTCACGTAGTTGCCATTTCGTGATGCCATGTGAAGTGCTGTGTTTAATGTCTTCTTTTCTTTGGCATTGACAAAACCAGGTTTCTTATCCTTGAAAAAGACAACCAGTTTTTGGACAGTATCTAGTTCACCAAGCTTTGATGCTTTGAAGAAAAGGTTCTCCCATGGTTGAAAATTGCCGGGAAACACTTGATAGAGGAAACTGAGGGGATGTAAACCCGTTGCAAGATAAAGTAAATTACTGCTAACTTTAACATAAAAATCTTCAACAATATAAAACAAGTTCTCAATAATCTTGACAGCTCCGATGAGGGTAGTATATAATAGAGGCAGTGAGCTAAAAAAGATCTATTAAACAATCAACTATTAATCAATTAGCCGAGTGTTTCCAGAGCAACTCATGAGGGCAGTATAATAGTGGTAGCGGAGCTAAAAAAGATCTACTAATCAATCAGCTTCATGAGGGCAGTAGGTAGTAGAGCTAAAACAGATCTATTAATCAATCAGCCTCATGAGGGCAGTATAATAGTGGCGGCAGAGCTAAAAATGATCTATTAATCAATCAGCCAAGTGTTTCTAGAGCCCCTCATCGGAGCTAAAAATACATCATATAATGGTTTTAGATACAATTATCCTATTAATTAGTCTTTAACAAAACACATACAAGTTAGTATTTCAGCTATCAAAACTTAAAAACATTTAATTGATAGAGTTTATCATTCATCTCAGGTTGTGCACTACTAGTCAATTAACTGTGCAAACTTGTGAAAAGAGATTTATAAAGAATGGACATTTGTTAATGCTAAAATTACCTGTAACTTCAATGTCTTGAGACATTTATTTTGGGGGAACTTTGAGTTAATTGGTATTTGGGACTAATTTAAAATTTCACATGCTGGTAGCTACAATTCCATAAAAAAATTGATAGTACTTACACTGTCCCTGTTTTCATGATTTTGTTCCGTGAAAGACTTTCAAAGTATATCTGAAAAACATATGATTTCATGCTACTAGATTTAAACACAGGAGAGCATAGCATTATTAAACTGATGCAATAGGATGATTCATTTAACAATCAACTGATTTGATTTATTTATTTATGTATAAATGAATTGAAAAAGGCCTAGACGGATTGGGATAAATATAATTATATATATTCCTCACCTCATACTGTGGATAATCACTAGGATTAACTTCAACAACCTCATGCTGAGGAAGACCGAGTATGGAACGGATTGTTACTAAAGAAAAAAAAAATCAGTTAAATAATACTTCATCACAAAATTCACAAATTGTAGCCAATTGTGATAATTAAGGAAGTGGTTCTTGCTGTTGCCATAAAAAGTATAGCTTGAAGGATTAAATGTCTAACATTAAAGCCAGGCTCCAGAGAAAACCATTTTAATAAGGGTGTAACCACTCTTTTTCCAGACCTTTTCAAATATTCATAGGACAAGTTTTTCATCAAACACTCTTTTTGCATCTTAGAAAAATCAGTTTTACAACATATCAAACATTTTTTTCTCCGTAGCCGGGAATTAAGCCGTAAGTTTCACAAGGAAATCTAATATTCCAGGTTAGTAACAAAATATATAGCCATCCTTCAAAGTCAACATTATTTCAGTACAATCCAAAAATTAGGGTCAAAGGCAATACAGGAATGTTATGAGTCTCATCGTTAGAAAATAAAAAAAAGAGTTTATATTATATTTATTTTGGTAGATCGCATTATTAGCTTTAATTTGATAAATGAATGGCTTCCCTAGGATAAATAGATCCAGAGATGTTAGCATTTAAAGTTCAGGTGTATGAGAACCAGGTTTTGAGAAAATCGGCCTCAAAGATAAACTAACCTGTACAAATAATAGTACTAGAATTACAGTATATGCGAAGAACACTGTTTTAGTAAAGAAAAATTCATTTAAAAAGTACACAATCATAAAATATAGGTATCAAGTTATTCAAAAACATTAAAATCAAAATTTTGTAAAAATGTTGCCTTTGACCCATTTTGGTGAATATCTCAATATGATTTCACCAACGATGCGTCTCATTTCGTGTTGAGACCTCACATATTATATTGTTTGTTTTCCTTTGATACCTTTTGCCTGCCCCTTTCCTTGTGTGAAGTCATCAAGAAATTCACCCGTCTCCACATTTTTTAGGACCATCTTGCGTTCCGGATTCACAGGTTCTCTCAATTTACTCAAGTAGAATCCCAGGCCATTTGACAAGTTCAAGTTGATTACCATTGACAGACAAAGGTCACTGATTGTGATTGACCTACGCATTGATAATAAACCAATAATGACCAGTTAGTTAAATTTATTTTTCTAATCATGAGACATAATAACTGATTCAGTAAGTTACTAGTTTTTAATAGTATAAATTTGTGGTGGATTGATTGATTGAATTTATTTAATGCTTGATATGCACATAGAAGATGAAAATGATTTGTTAAAAACAAAAAAAAAAAGTAAAAATAAATGAGCACCAGGAATGCCCATCAGGCTAGTGTTCAGTCCATTTCCAATTGGGTAAAAAATTACACATTAAAAAAAAAATGTACACCATATAAATTTTTAAAAAATCTAAAAATTTGTCTGAAATCTCCCACATGTGGCGGGAGTCTCCTACAAATCGAGATGGTCTCATGTACTCCCACAAAGACGCATGATTCTCCCAGAAAATAGCCCATCTCCCGCAGTGCCAATGGGTATCTCCGTTCGCAGAAAAATAAAACTTGATGATGTGTTAAAGAGCTCATTTAACCAGACTTCCCAGAAATGACTTCTTCCAATTTGGGACCTCTAAAACACACCAGTTCTTATTCTTGTTCTATCTATATCTATGTGATGTACCATTAAAATTTATTGTATTGTTTATCATTAATGCAATTCTATGGTTGACTAAATGTCATTTGTAAGTTTAAACTGCTTGTGTCTTAACCAGTAGGATAATTGAAGTATATGTAATGAGAAAGAAGGTTAAAACAAATTGTTTACCTGGGTACAGGAAAGGCGTCAAAGCGCTCCTTCATTTTCTTAGAAACAATTTCCCTTGTCTAAAAAAATTAAGTTGTTTTTGAATAAGAAACATTTGTTAATAAAAAGAAAGTTATCATTCATAGATATCTGCAATGGTATCTTTGAAAAAGGAGTTAAAAGAATACAGAAAATATGCAGAAATGGAAATTGAATACCTCAATTTGTACTTTTGTGACGTGATCCCACCATGCACGGCAAGCTTCAATGTCAAATCTTGTTCCAATCGTTACTTTTTCTGAAGAAAATTTCAAAGTACTGTTTAACTACCGATCATTAAACCCCTTGTTCTTGGATGGAAAAACTTCAAAGGGTCATGATGAAGCTGTCTTATGAACTAGTTTTGATCATAATGGGAGTATTTTTAGTCATTTTTTGTTATGTAAATCTCTATCTGTTCTCTGTTTCCTTACCTTCATGTAAAATGTTAAACAAATTTGAGATTATTGTACACCTTTATATCTTTAACCATTATTAAACAAATTGTTTAATAAATGGAACTGAAATTATTAAACAACTTTGCTTGCATATCAGGTCAGTGGTGCTATAAGCAATTTTATGGATAAAAATATTTGGTATTCATTCATTCAATATATGTACATAAAATGCTGAATTGTGAAACAAAGTTTTCAAATAAGAGTAATACCAAACTTAAATATGAAAATACATAACTGAGCCTAAAATTGGGTTGACACCACACAGTAGCAGCAGCACTAGTGTGGTGAAGTCCAGGGTAATCCAGTGGAAAAGAACTCTGTTCTTCATTTCCCCAGTTAGGAAACCCTGAACTTTACAAATGCATGTCTGAGTGTGCCATTTTCAGGCATCTTTGAGACAGATGTACACTTGGATATATGTCAGGGATCTTGAACCTCTTGTTAAAGACTTTGTCACCATCCCCTCCCGCCATCAAAAAACTTGGAAACCTTAGAGGAGAATTTCTGGTACTGCTACTGGCCCACACCCTTATTACTGTGTACCATTAAATGCTTTCTACAACGTTAAATGTACCTTTTTCAAGTTGTTCAATTAAATTTGCCAGCTCTTTTCTCCTCTTGAGCATTGGAACACTGTTCACTATTTCTGGAAAACTCTCTAATTCATGTCGAGCTGCCCTCAGCAAATGATCTAATTCTCTCTAAAAAGAAATTCAAAAATTCATAAAAGAGATATTATTATTATTGTTTTTATTGTTGTTGTCATCACCATGTTTGCTGTTTCAGTGCTACCTACCAATCGTGACAAGATACACCCAGACTGCCTTAGCTTGAATCCACACATAAAGTATACACAGAAAGAACTGCAAATGGCCATCTCATCAGCCTATAATGAAACATCATTATATTATCAACAATTAAAATATTTGCTTGACTCTGTATTTAGAACTTCTTGGGAAACAAATGAAAGTTATGCCATCATGAAAAATTGATGGAGAAAATTGGAGAAATTACTTGTTGTGAACCTGTCATAGGCAAAAAACAGATGATGATAATAGATTCAATAAATTTGAACCTCAATTTTCACACAAAACAATTAAAATGACAATTATAATCATATACAGTACTTTGTAGAACACAACATGGTGGATCAATCGGTTCATCAAACTTTTTGGAATTTATTACGTTTGGGGCAATCATATGCATTAGCTTGCTTGTCATATGTCACTCTTAAGATTACTGATATAAAAACACCAATAACCACTTGATTTTGCCTTGCCAAACTCCATTAGATTAAGACAATTTTTGAATACCATTCCGAGGTAAACAAAAGCATTTCAATCGTAGATAGGTTGTTTTGCCCCATAATCTTGAAGTTACGTTGTTTTGCCACAGAAAACCACAAGGTTTTAAGTTTTGTTCTTAAAGATAGGTGGTACTATCTCTGAAATGACGGAGACATGAAATTTTCCCAGGTATTTCAGACGTGTTTATAATACTTCCAAATGATATTATCTCAATATCGACAAAAATGTCAGTTACATTGTTTTTCCTCAGGACAGTAGTGGAGTTGTTCTGATTTTGAGAAAAAACTGCTGCAACACTGACAGGAATACAGTAGAACCCAGGACGCTGGGGATTAGAAGGCAAGCATCTTAACCATCAAGCTATTAACTCAACTCAATTAATGTTTGATCAAACTTGTTTAGTAAATGGTTGTTTCAGATAAAATGCATTTCTTCATCTGGTGAAGTCTGATCAAACATTTCTGTTATGTCTGGCAAACAAAAATTAGATTATTTTTTTCTCAGTTTGTTTTTCTTTTTTTCTTTTTTTTTTCTTTTGCTTTCTGGAAAGCAGAAAAAAAACATTTGCAACTTACCTCAACAAGATCCTGTGAATCCATAGGTGTGTGGATGCGCATTATCTTCTCGTAAGTCCGTAGCACCAAGTTTATTGTCCAACGGTCATTCAACATCACTTCTGTTGTGAATGTACCGGGAGCAAAGCAGTTTATCAGAGCACACAGCACACGACTATCCACCAAGTCATCTAATGTCTGAAAAAACAGAAGTAGCTTTGGTATAAATCATACAGCCTGGGTCATGAAGGTGTGACCCTGATGATTAAAATTCATGGAAGTTTATTTCAGACAGTTTAAAGTTTTTATTTGATTATTGGACCCTACATATATATATGTATATATTGCATCCTACACCAACTAATGAGTCTCTAGATACTAGGGTTTTCCTGTCTTGCCTTTAGGTGTTTATTTTCTTAAATGTTACACTTGGAATTCTAGCAATTAAGAGGCCTTGAGGGAGAGGCATAATTTGAGGATCCTTAAATACAATTTAATTTTTATACATCTATAATATTTTTGGATTGTTTGTTTCATTTTCTAACAGTCTTGGTAGAAATGAGTTTAAATAAATATTGAAGCTGTCAATAAAATAAGGTTCATTGCTTCTACATGGTCTTGTCATTTTGATTACTACACAAACTTTAGTTGATGGAAAGCATGTTAGATATATTTTTGGTAGGAAGGCTTATTTGAATATACTCATTCCCAAAAGACGTGAATATAGTTTGTCTGTAAGTTTGAAAAAGATTTTAATAAAATATAAGTTATCTTAAATGTATTACTTTTTTTTTTTCACTATAATAGTCACAAGGGCCAAGAATATACCAAACAATGAACTTAATCACTTTTTAAAGTGACAATTAATTCGCACGACATACATTAACGCAAGATGCAGTACATGGACTAGGTATCATTATGAGGCTTAGGAAGTTGTTTCTAGTTGGGAGAAAAAAATTATGTCACCATGACAAACATTGAACACACCTCATCTTATAGACATACCTCAACATGGAGCTTGCGGCCTTCACGACTTGTCTGCAGTACAGCATTCAACATCTCCAGCAAGCAGTCCTCTGCATCAGGTCTAGGCCACATTTTGTTCTTTGGTTTGAATTTCTTGCAGAATTCTTCCCCTGGAAATGGTATATAGGGAATGGTAGGCGAAATGTTATCCGCCTCAGGTTCCTATTGAGAAAGTTAGAAATACATTACTAAATCAATAAAATAAATAAATTCTTGTTTTAAATCTATACAGAATATTTTTATAATTTACACTTAAATAAATATATTATGATCTTTGCTGAAAAATCAACAAAATTTTTAGTAGTCCCCTAAGAACCTGAAGTAGCTGCAATGCAGAATCTACCATTGTCATATGGTCAACAGCGATACACTTTCATAGCGCCTTCCACAGTAGAAACCATTTTAAGGCGCTTTTAGCTACAAAGAAACTAAAAATCTAAGTAATGAACAGACACGAATGCGAAGGGGAGGAGGAAGATGCACAACCCTGATTTTGCGTTTGCGATAGCGTCGCGATCACAACCGTGTACATGCCGGTACTGTACCTCAGCGTCATTTGCTGGGCTCTGGTAGCTTCCACGGAGGATAAGCCTGCGGCATTTTCATGCCAGGCATTAACTGTACTGAGTCAAGTTTGGCTTGAGGCTTAGTTTGTGATATGAACAAATAATTATAAGTGATTAAACAGACAATTGAAATTAAAACAAACATATATATTTTGTCTTTAATTCGCTCTGTTTCATTACCATCGAGCACTCTGCTAATATATATATATATATATATATATATATATATATATATATAT